TGGGGACGCAAAGAAAATTTTAGGCCTATGGGGTAGTCCTTGAGGCTGTATTGTGGGAGCCAGTTGCCTTGAAACCGTTCTGGATGTTGGATCATCTGGGCCATGGTGTCATCGGAGATCTTTCAGGGGGTCTTGGCTGGTCAAACCTGATGTATCTTAATCTGGAACAAATCCATAGCCTCTGGCTTTCTGGCCACGTGGCTGGTGGCTTACCGGCATCTTTACATGCTCCTTGTCCTGGCGGTGGCTGCAGTGTCTCTAGAAATATGTTTTAATTGTTCCCATGGACTATTGTCTTCTTTCCTCGAGATTGGCTCATGGGAAGTGTTTTATCACCTGTAAGTTCAGTAAATGCAGCTGGATGTGGTGGCACCTGTGTCACAGCAGCGTTTGGGAGATAGAGGCAGCAGGTCAGGGATTTGAGGTAGCTACATAGTGAATGCAAGGTCAGTCTGGGCTGCATGGAACCTTTGTTTTTGTCTCTAAAAACAAAACAAGTTCATTAACTACACTTTGCTAGTTTGATTTTTCTTGCAGGTTATAGAAGTGACCTGAAGAGGACTAAGGTGGAGCTCACTAGGAGAGAGTACCTTAGTATAGGGATTTATTTTAGAGGTCACACTGGTGGGGCTCGTGATCTCAATAGGCAGGTGGTTGTTGGCAGGGAGAAGAGGTGTCAGATGATATTGAGATTTGGAGTTTACATGTCTGGGAAGGACATTGTCATTCACAGAAGTAGGAAAGTGAGACAATACAGCAGGATTTTGAAAATTAGATTGAGAGGCAGTTGGGTATTCTGGGCGAAGATGTCAGGTGCATAGTTTGAAACCTGGGCCTTAGATTGCTGTCTTCAGTAACTAGTAGGTCATTGTTTACTGTAGAGAGTAATCTTTGAAGAGTGGCAGAAGAGGAAACTGTATCAGGAAGATGAGGAATCTGCATGTTGGAGATGGGAAGGAGGAGATTGGGGGCCATGGGAAGTATTGGGTATCACTGATCGTGTACTCTGTTGCTGCTCTGTTATTACTGTTGCTGTGATAACATACTGTGATGAAGGCAACTTCCAGAAGGAAGGCTTGTGATAAGTCCATCATGGTGGGGAGGTGTGGCAGCAAGTGGCGTGGCTGCAGGAGCTGGAAGATTACATTGCACACTTGAACCACGGGCAGGATGCAGAGAAAGCCGAGTGCCAGGATGTACTCTCAAAGCCCATCCCCAGGGACCTACTAACTGCAGCCAGGCAGCACTCCTAAACCTCTCCAAACAGCACCACCAGCTGGGACCAAGGTTCAAATGCTTGAGGTTGTTAGGGACATTTTACATCCAAATCATCACAGGCACAGAGACAAGAAAAGAGCCCAGCTGCAGGAGGAGGTGGAGGTGCTTCCACCGGAAGACATTTGCACAGGATTAGGTTCATCACTTGTAGAGTGAAAAGGATGAGAAGGACTTGGTGCCAAAGTAGATCGGAGCTGGAGTCAGCAGATGCTGGAGGTACTGAAAAGATGAGCCACAAAGGCTTGATGTGAGTTCATTCCAGTCAGCTCCTTTGTGACCTTCCACTAGTTCTTAGAAACTAGATGGTAAGATTGGGAAGGGCTGGAATTGGGGCCTTTTCTGTGAGCATTTGAGAGGTGAGGAGCTTGAGGGTGTTAGGGGGGTATTATTTCGTATACAGAGCAGAGGTGAGTGAGGAAAACCCTGCGGTGTGACTGTTTTGATTCTGGCGGTAGGTGGATGGGTGATGGTGGAAGCTGACACTCTAAGGTCAGGGTGGAAGTGTTAAGTGTTCTCAACTGTGTAAGCCAGACAGAATTCACAGAGTTCTGAGGACTTCTGCAGCCTGGCCTAGGTTTATGCCCCTTAACCATTGTTGACTGGTTCTCTGAACTCTGAAACAGAAGTAGCTAGGCCTGTGCCACCATCGATTGGGGTTCATCGGTGTTTTGTGATGTGTAAAGTGTTTTATTAGAAATGACAGTAACAGGTGGGCAGTGGTGGTGCACACCTTTAATGCCAGCACTCGGGAGGCAGAGGCAGGCGGATCTCTGTGAGTTCGAGGCCAGCCTAGTCTATAGAGTAAGTTCCAGGATAGCCAGGGCTACACAAAGAAATGCTGTCTCGAAAAAGGGTGGGGGGGAAGGGGGACGGGACGGGACGGGGGAAGGAAATGACGTTAATAGCATGTTCAGCAGCAGTTTTTTAACACTGTAGTTACATAAGTTCATAATCTCTACTTATTTTGTATTGTGAGTTAGGAATTATCCTAAATTTCCCCTCCATGTTCTCTCTCCTCATCCTTTCCTCCCTTCTCCTTGCCTTTTTTCCCCTTTGTGGTGCTAGGGCAGACTCTGTGGTCTTACGCAGGAGGTACCTTTTACCTACATCACCCACATAGCTTCCTCTTTCATTCTTTGAAGTCAGTGTTTACTTTCTTTAAGGAGAGATGAAGAAAACCCTGCAGGATGAGATTGAAGCCATTCTTAGGAAGAGGATTATGGTGCTGGATGGTGGAATGGGGACCATGATCCAGCGGTACAAACTAAGTGAAGAAAGTTTCCAAGGTCAAGAGTTCAAAGATCACCCCAGGCCACTGAAAGGCAACAATGACATCTTAAGTATAACCCAACCTCATGTTATTGGCCAAATTCATAAGGTGAGTTATTTCTAGGCTCTTAAACATTCATTCAGGCTATTTCATGTATCAAGCTCTAGAGAATATGGAAAAAGGATGTGATTTATTAAAAAGCAGGTATTTCACACCAAATAAAAGTTACAGACGATGTTGGTTGGGCCCTTGGGATAAGCAAGCAGATGACAAAGGTAGGTTGGTTTTGTTGTTGTTGTTTTTTGTTTGTTTGTTTGTTTGTTTTGGCCTTTGTAGCATTTAAACTTTAGTTGAAAAACCATACATCCTGGAACAATTTCGGAGTTTCATATTTGCCTATTAATACCCTGTGAAGATATACTGAAAGATGGTGTCTTAGTTTGTGCTGCTATAAAAATTCTCAGATTGAAGCCGGGCGGTGGTGGCACACACCTTTAATCCCAACACTCGGGAGGCAGAGCCAGGCGGATCTCTGTGAGTTCGAGGCCAGCCTGGACTACCAAGTGAGTCCCAGGAAAGGCTCAAAGCTACACAGAGAAACCCTGTCTCGAAAAAACCAAAAAAAAAAAAAAAAAAAAAAAAAAAAATTCTCAGATTGAGTTGCTCCAGCAACGACATTTCTATTTATTTATTTAGTTTTATATGTGTGAATGCTTTGACTGCATGTATGTGTATTATGTGCACCATGTGTGTGCCTGGTGCCCAGGGAAGCAAAAACCAGACCCTCTAGAACTGCCTCCAGGAGTTTCAGATGGTTGTGAACTGCCATTTGGGTATTGGTAGTCAAGCTTGGATCTCCTGGAAGAGCACCTGGTGCTCTTAACTGTTGAGCCATTTCTCCAGGCCCCAGCATTTATAGTTTGTAACAGTAGGAAGTGCATCACTGAGATGCCATTAGGTCTGGTGTCTGCTGAAGGTCCTCTCTGCTTACCATGTACCTTTCTTCCTATTGTATCCTCACATGGTGGAGTGCAGCAGGAGAAAGCAGATTTGTTCTTCTGGTTGGGTACGCTAAGGTCTGAGTGCCATGTCTTTCTTCCCCTCCCTGCCAAGATTCCTATGTTAAATTTCAGTATGGCCTCAGGAGGTGCCCTTAGGGTTGTTTTCAGAGCCCCCCTTCTGTCTCTCTGTCTCTCTTTGTGTGTGTATGTAGTAAAATATATATGTAAATATATATCTACATCCATCCATCCATCCATCCATCCATCTATTTAAAATTGCACATACAGTGTTTTACCTGCATGAATGTCTATATTGTATGCATAACTGGTGCCTGTGGAGGCTGTAAGAGGGTGTCTGATCCTCTGGAACTATAGTTACATATGATTGTGAACTGCCATATGAGTGCTGGGAAAGAAGCTGGGTCCTTTGGAGGAACAACCAGCTCTTAACCTTAGGACCATCTCTCCAGCCCCCCTTCCTTGCTATTTAACATAAAAATAAATTCCTGTTTGACTACTGCTATAAATTGCTACCCTCCCTAGAACTACTATCAGTTGATGCTTATCTTCCTAATTATTTTTGTTACACGTTTAATCTGCATATTATATGAGTAGAAGGTACATGTTTTAAACATAATGGCTGTATGTATATGTTACTTATCTCTGCTAGAATAGTTGGCAGAAATAAGAGATTTATTTTGCTCAAAGAGAGGGTACAGTCCATTGGGGCAGAAAGGCATGATAGTGGAGGGAGCAGTTGTTTGTACATGGCATCGGTCATGTTACATTGTGCTGATCAGGAAGCAGACAGGGACTGGTAAAACCTTCCTTCATTCAGCTCGGCTCACTTCCTAAGGGTTCTACAATCTCCTGAAACAGTGCTACCACTTGGGACCAAGTCTTTAAGCATGAGTCTAAGTACATTTGCATTCAGACCATAGCAGTATGTTTTACACAGTGTGTTTTCCTGTTTAGTGGTGCTTGGCGGCCTCACTGTGTCATAGACATACACAGTTTTTTTTAGGTGTCATATGACATGTGATGAAGTTGCTTTAGTTATCTCCCTCTTGAAGACTGCTATTGTAAATGTGCTGCTCATCTTGGCTTTCATTTTCATTTCTGCAGACATTATTCATCAGCTTAGGAAGACTGAGTTTGTTGACTGTTAGAAAATCAAAGGGTTTCAGGCTGTGAGTCAGACTGAGATGGAGATGTTCTTCAGACAGAGAAACTAGGAAGGCAGGTGTTAAAGAGGCAGAGTGGTGGGGTACCAAGTTCTCAGGGTTCCAGGAAGGGTGCAGATAGAGGAGTAGGAGATGCAGCCTGAAAACAACATGCTCAGAATTTGATCTCTTAGGGGTGGTGCAGTTCTCGGTGCCCATCAGTGGTGTTACAGTGGGGAGGTGTGGAGAACAGAGCTGCTGGCTCCTGAGTGCCCAGGGTGTGCCAGACTCTTGAAGTGCTGGCTGACAGTACCATAGAGACTTACTTCCTTACCATAGGCAGGAAATGGTTTTAATACTTTTAATGAGGAGGTTGATACCCAGAAAATTTAAGGAACTTGACAGGCAGGATTCTAGTTACTGCCCAACCACTGCCCCTTGAAGTTTGTATATTTTTCCCTTAAAAAACGGCAACAACAACAAAACCCAAGGAACCCGAAACCAAATACCAGAGTTTAAGGGATGTGATAAAATGTACATAAACCTAATGTATTATTTTTGTCTGAACTTATGTTCTGTGCTTATGTATTAAACCACATGCCTTTCTGTGAAATCCTTGTACCTGCTTGCATCTCTAGTCTTGAAAGTATTGTCTTACATGTTGGTTAAAAGGTGGTTGTTGGTAACAAATGAAAAGCCACGTTTATTATTGGGCCATGGACTCTTAAGCTCGTAATAGCTGACTTACTGTCTTTTGTTGCAGGAATACTTGCTAGCTGGAGCAGATATCATTGAAACAAACACTTTCAGCAGCACTAGTATTGCCCAAGCCGACTATGGCCTTGAACACTTGGTAAGACTTCCCTGTCTAATATGCTTATTAGTATTTATTGCACAGAAGAGTGCTAATGACAAAACCACCTGAAGTGGCAGTCAGTTTAATCCCAGTTATCAGGGATCATGGCTTGAACCTCTTCTGCTTATGAGGGTAGCAGCCCATTTATTGCAGCTGGCTTTTTGAGGCAAGTAATAGTCAGCTAACAGTGTATCCTTTGGTAAAGGCAGTAGTACTGACTGAACCTGTACATGTAAGTAAATAGCTGTGGCTGTTCCAGTGCAGAAGTGGATAATGAGATGGGCCCTGAGCCACAGTGCACCAAACAAACCCTGTTAGGATATCCTCGTTTGTTAATTTGAGAAGCCAAAGCAGTTAAAGGCGTTGATGCAGATTACAGCTCTAGGAACACTTGCTGGTGTGTGAACAGCTTCTGAAGGGTCCCTTCACTTGTGGACAGACTGCTTTGCATGTGTGTGCCTACTTGTTTGCTTTTTCCAGCAAGAGGTCCATGATCTTTCTCAGATGAAAAAAAAATTGTTTTTATGTGCTTGAGTATTTTGCTTGCATATATATCTGTGCACTCATGAATGTGCTTGGTGCCCGTGGAAGCCAGAAGAGGGTATTGGGTCTCCTGGAACTGGATTAGCAGGTGATTCCCACCTGTGCATGGTGGGAATTGAGCTCAGGTCCCCTGGAAGAGCTTCCAATGCTTTTAACTACTGATCTATCTCTCCAGCATTCTTTATCAGATTTTTTTTTTTTAGACAGGGTTTCTCTGTGTAATTCTAGAGCTCACTTTGTAGACCAGGCTGGCCTCGAACTCAGAGATATGCCTGCCTCTGCCTCCTGAGTGCTGAGATTAAAGGTGTATGCCAACACCGATGGCATGATTTTTAAGATGTTAATCTACAGAAAGTTTAGAACTGCTTCTTCCCACCATAGTCCAGTAAGAAAATCTGGGCCCGGGAAAGCTGCTCTGAGAACTGCCAACTGGTTCTGGAGTGGCTGAGACACTCTTAGATCTTAGATTTCCTCTCTCAAATGTTGGTGGTTTTCCCACTAGTATACTTTTCCTCTTTCTTTTTTTCTTTCAAGACAGTATTGCATTATATAGCCTTGGCACACTTTGAATTCACTGTCTCAGCTTCCCGAGTGCTAGGATTATAGGCTACCACACCTGGGTTAGAATATTTTATTAATTTGTGGAATATTTGGCTGTATCAACTTATTTGACGTGCTAGAGGACCAGGTATCAGCCTTACAATGTGTGGTTTCACTCAGCCCTCATCAGTTCATGCTAGTTCTTTGATGAGTTCAACTCAGAATTAGCTAGTTATAGATCCCTTGCTGGATGGAGGAAAAGCAGGACAGACTAACTTCAGTGGTTGATATGTTAGGCCTACCGGATGAACAAGTGCTCTGCAGATGTGGCCAGAAGAGCCGCTGAGGAGATAACTCTGCAGACAGGTAAGGGACGTTCTCCTTCTTTATTGCACACACACAAGTTCTTTGATGGTCTCAGCTCTAATGTCCAGTGTTTTTTTACATGATGTTTGACTTGGGAGCAAATACTCTACTTGTTTGCAGGCTACTTCCCGTATGTAGTGTTATAGAGAACCATTCAGTGTCTCCGAAGTGACACTGTTCCCCTGGACCTCCAGTTCAGGGTTTCCTCTTTTACCTTACTGATGCTCATAGCCTGACTTGGTAGCTAGGCACATCACTGGGTTATTAAATAGCAACTGGCTGATTTGATTTTGGTAATTATTAGAGTATTTGATGTTATCTTTCTAAAGCTGGCTTCTTCCTCATGCCTGGCTTATTTAAGCAGTGATTTCCTTTTGAGCATTTTCTCGTGTAGACTACTGATGACCTGATTGCTCTTCCTGGATGACAGAGGGCTGTAGCATTAGATTCAATCTTGCTGGGACTTGGAAAGTGGTTCTTGAAATAACTAACCTCCTGGCTAGCTGCCATCCGAACATTTGGGCTGGTGAGAGGCTTTGAGACAGGGAAAGCAGTAGAAGAAATATATCGAGCCCTGAAAGATTTGGGACTGTGAAGTTATTGCCAGTAGGAAAGATGGGAAGGAATTGTTAGGAAGTTACTGACTGCATACTAATGTAGAAGGCCAAAGCAGTTTACAAGGAAATCTGTTTCTGAGAGATAACATTTAAGTTCATGGACTTGCAGAGCCCATTACCCCAACAGAGAGGTGGTCATGGGCTATTGAACCAGTTCAAACAGGGAAAGATAAGGACATTTTCCTTACAACTATCTATGCTATTATTCAGCACTGGGGAAGATGAAGAACATTTAGGCCTGAAACCTTTTCACAGGCTGCAAAATAATTTCTCTTTTCTCTTTTTGTTTGTTTTGAGGCAGACTTGGAGTCCAAGGCAGGTCTCAACCAGTGTTGCAGAGGAGGACCTTGAACTCTTGATCCTCCTGCCTCTACCTCCCTAATGCTAGAATTACAGATGGGTGGTGTCTTACCCAGGCATTATTAGCTAGTTGGCAGGCTTCCTCTGTGTAATTGTAAAGCACAGCCCAGGTTATGTTACTAAAATCACCAAGTAATGAGTTATAGGACTCCTGGCTTTACGTTCTGATATGCCTATGAGCACAACTTCCCAGGCTGCTATAGAAACAAGTTCACTTCTGGCCTAGAGGCAAGATTTAAAAAAAAAAAAAAAAAAGATTTATTTATCTTTATTTTGTATGCATTGGTGCTTTGCCTGCATGTATTTCTGTGTGAGCATGCCAAGTCACCTATAACTACAGCTACAGACAGTTGAGAGCTGCCATGTGGGTGCTGGAAATTGAACATGGGTCCTCTGGAAGAACAGCCAGTGCTCTTAACCACTGAACCATCTCTCCAGCCCCTGAGGCAGGATTTTTTTTTTTAAAGAGCTGACTAGAGCAATATTCATTCTGCTTCATTCTAGAATTTCAGGCTTTATAATTGTTAATTCTGATTTAATATTTACTCTAGTGAAAGGTCTGCAGTGTAATACTACAAAGCATTTCGCATTATGTTCTAATGTGAATCACCTTGTTAAATCCAAGACTTTGAATTTTTCTCAAGAATAGGGAGAAAGTATGCCAACACACAACTGTAATAGAAATACTTGGATTTGCTGTTTGAGAGCTGTTTTGAATTGTTAACGGCAATGATGTTTATATTCCTTTTATTGTGTGATTTTCCTAGTCATGAACAAATATGTTAAGAGAATCTGTCTGTCAACTCAGTGACATAAAAATTAAATAGACTTTTATTAGTTCAATAGAAGTTTTGTTTCAAATGAATTTTGAAAAAATTAGGCTTTTAGAACTTTTTAGGTTTCTGAGCTATAGAGGATTATATAGCCTTATAGGAAAAGTCTCCCTCACCTCCCTTTTTCTTTACTGGGGGAGGTAAACCAGGATGAGTGCCTCGTGTGCTAGACAAGCACTCTGCCACTAAGCCCCAGTCCCAGACCTTTTTATTTTATTTTGGGATGGAGTTAGGTAGCCCAGGTCAGCCTCAAACTCACGGACTTGCTTCTGACTCCTGAGAACTGAGATTATTGATCCTAAAGTCTATGGATTCATACTAAAACGTTTGAGTGACTGGTGATTTCACACTTTTTTTTCTTTTCCCAAAGGAATCAAGAGGTTTGTGGCTGGCGCTCTGGGTCCAACTAATAAGACACTTTCTGTCTCCCCATCGGTGGAAAGGCCAGATTACAGGAACATCAGTGAGTATTCATTGCATACAATCACAGACCTTGGGGAAGTGCTTCAGTAATCTACAAATCTACAAAGTGAGACCTCAGAAATGGGACTGTACCTGTGTCAGGGGCTTACAGTGGACCTGTGTCAGGGGCTGAAATACTCTAATGTTAGCGGCTGTCCTTGTTGGAGCTTGCTCTCAGCTGTTCATGGTCATATGTCAGTGCTTCCTATAAAACTAGCTGAACCAATACTTACAAGGAAGACATCAGCAAATTGGGTATCTGCTCTTGGTCTACTATAAAATAACTGCTGTGTTGTTTTTCCCTGTCTACCCTTTACTTTTTGAATTTCTTTTTTTTTAATCTTTTTTTAAGACAGGATCTGACACAATAGTTCCGACTAGGCGGCCTAGCATTCTTTCTAGCCCATGCTGTTCTCAGATTTGTGGCAGTCTTTTCGTCTCAGCCTCCTGAGCGAGGGGATCACAGGTGTGAGCCACCATGCCCAGTTTATATCACCTTTCAATTCCCGAAAGCAGTCTAAAATATCTAAACATACTAGCTTTATAGGTACAAATTAGCATATATAAACTTGTTTTGTTAAGATTTGACAAAAAATTGAGAGTGTAGGTCAATCTGTGAGCATTAATACTGTAGGAAAGATTTAAAATCCTAGAGCTAATTATACCGCTGTGGTAATGGATTTTTGTGTAGGCAACAAGTTCAGGTGAGTACAGCTTATGGGATTTCGTTTACTGAATAGTGCACACTGTGCTGCCGTGCATCTTTACTAAGAGTGGCACTTCCCAAGCTGGTGTGGTCCATGTTCCCTGGATGTGACAGTGGGAGCCTGTTCCCAAACGGTATGAAGTCAGGGGTAACTACCTAGCTAGCACAGCAGGGGTCTCTGATAAATAGCTAGGCAGTTTTTTCTTTTTGGTTGGGAGAGAGAGTGAGAAGACAGATGACTTCTCACTGGAAATAGACGACACAGGACATTTCTTACAAAATTGACCTAGTAGTTAGTGAACTCTGTCGGTTCCGTCAAAATTGTCTTCTGGAGAGGTGGCTTCTTATAAACTGAGAGGGGGAAATACATGGGATCATAACATTTATTAGAGATTTAACCTGTGATGTATCCAGATCTCATTTATTGTATTTTTTTTAGTGTGTGTGTGTGTGTGTGTGTG